TGTGGATTATTCCAACCTTAATTAAAACTGGCAGAACAGAGACACTCAAAGTTTAGGAAAGAGATCATGTAGAGTGATACTTACCTTGTTCACGGAGGTGAATAAAGCAAGCAAAGTGGAGTGAAGTGGAGTGAAGAGCCCTGAGTTGGGAGAGCTTTTATACAATTCCCTGGATCATGGGGATCACCTAAGGTGCAATTTGTTCACGTGCATAATTGGGGCAAACCCAACACTAATATGACACGTAGGTCTTCAGAGTTTCGCTGACTATTTGTTTATTTGTTGGTTCGAAGTCTCGTGAAAGATGATCGGTGGATTTCATCACAGAAGCCTCTTTCATCTCAAATGGTTACCTGTAATATTCATTCCTGTTATCATTCCATTTACATCCTCGGCGTTACAACGAGAGTTAGACCAATGCTCTTCCTCAGCTTCTCCATTATTAATAGCAAAATCCAGCTGCTCACTGCATGGCTGTGGTCACTTGATGCACACAGATTTTTGTCATTAAATCCAGGCTGTAAGACACCTGGAGAGAAAATGGGGTTCATTAGAACAACTTGGGGGTCGTCATTTTTATCTTTATCATTTGCACCCTCATCTACTTAATGTAAGACCAATACTGCAGCCAAAGGAAGGCAGAGAAAACATCTTCTGGTCATAAATGGTTTTCTCTTGTTTCGTTTTTGCTCCTGAACACAGTTCTGGCCTCATCTAAAGAATGAATGACTTGGGGAAACACTTCTTGCTCTTTTTGCTGTGCATCCAGCTGTGGATTACCCTTCATGTTCTTTTCTCAAACACTGCCAAGTCCTTTGGACAATTTTAAGCAAAAAGCAGAGATAGAACATCCTTTTAAACCACTCAAATTTTTCTAACAGGTCTCTCTCACTGTATTTCAACCCAATTTGGAATCTAGAGGCAAACTGGTATTTCCCTTTCTGTTCTCAATATTGCAAAGTACTTTCTTTGTCAGACATTTGTCACCCACATTTTTCAGTCTTCTGTATCGTGATACAAACCCTTCGGGGATCCATCTTCAGTTCCATCTTCAGATCAGGCAACATTGAAGACTACTGAAGATGGAAATTAAGTGAAATGTGGCTGGTGGGAGCTTGCTAAAACTATCTGGAGATACGCCACGATAGAAACAGAGAAATCATTTACATGACTAAAGGCTGATCACTGGTAGAATTGTAACATCTCTAGAAACTAATCAAATCCTCTGTTTTTGTGGTCTGATGTGCAACTGAAAATGATAAAGATACACTGATTATACAGCTTATGGAATGGAATATTTTATTTAAAAGTGTATATTTCATCCAAAAAACCCTGAAGATGTACAAATCCCCAGTATCCAGCCATGAGCTGATTATACCAAGGACACAAATACCTTGACTTACATATTTGAAAGTGATGTCATTCCATAATTGCTAAGCACCTACATCCAGGTACATGCCTTTAATTGTAAGAATACATTCTCTAACCATTAGTGGATAGTTTGTGGCATTTGAAAGGACTTGTTCCCTGGAAGCTTGAAAATAGTATTGTCCAAAGAAACTTCTAACCACCTCAAAGGCTGAGAAACCCACCTCATAATTTAGAGATAATGTCTGGCATAGAGTCTGCAATATTAAAATAACACCTCTGTAAACAAGGGAAGAACCAGCTTTTGTTTTGCGTGGTGTGTTCCATATTCATAATTGTTGCTTGTTTGCAGAAACTGCCAGCTCAGCCCTGTTCTGGACTTATGGCTTGCAGCAACAATAGTGTCTTGTAGGAGGCCATGAATTCCTGCGACTCAAAGCCAATAATTCAAAGCACTTCTGTTACACTGCAATTTTTGCTCCAGAGGATCCATTTGTGCTGAAAAAGCTTAGGTTTCCTCAGGATGATTAAACATTCTCAAGTACCATCCTTGGTACTGACAACGTCAAACCAACAATATCTGGAAAATGTCTCTTTGGGGTCTCCCGATCCCTTTGTAGCTTTAGTTAATGTCAGAAACTCATTCCTTGTTTATCTGTTAAAAAGCAAAAGCAACCCTCAGGAAGATAAAGGCTTCCTCTCCTCTGTGAAATTCTGCAGATTTATCCCTACACATTTCTGTAAGAGAATATATAAAAATACTGTTTGAGTGACTGATCAATGGAGAAACTAATTAATTTCATATCTGCCTCAAAACAGTTCCCAACACTCCAAAACGAAGGTTTTAACCATTTTTTTCTGCTCAAGGTTAAATTTCAATTTCCACCTAAGCCCTATTTAGAGTCTGGACGTCCCTGGAGTCTCTGCTCTTCTGAGCTGGATTGTACCCATTACAGCCCGTGTCAAATACTACTGGAAAACACAATCAAGGGTGTGGTGTCCCCCAACTGCATGTGAGGGGGCTAAAACATGCAGAAACCACCTCCAACCTTCCTGCATATCCCATTGAAAGTTTTTAACTTCCATCCTGGCAGGTTGTAACGTGAATATTATGGACTTAAACAAAAATCCTGCTCATGACAGTAGTATATAATTCTGATAAAGCCATGAGACGCTCTCCAGGTGTTAATACAAGACAAGCTGGTTTAGTAATTTCTGTTGTAATTTCAAGGAAGTGACTGGAATAACGCCAGGTATTTATTTTCCCCAAGTCGTCACAAGATGAAAGAATTCTCTATAATCTAAAGTAATGTTTAGGTCCTTACTACAAACAAATTTGAAAGGACTCATAAACTCCAATAATGAACACAGCGATTTCATCATCTCGACGGGTTACGCGTGTTTGAAATTGGGGCGGGCAGCCAGCTGATCGTATACCTCCATCTGCTCTGATATAAAAGCTCTTCTCTCCCATAGCTCTTCCAAACACTTCCTTTGGCTTCTTGGAGACTTGGGTAAGTCTGATTCTTCTCTGTTGCTATCAATGTCTCTCTTTAGTGCTAGTTTGAACTTCAGTTGATGTACACCATCCATACTGTTGAGTGTATCTGTACTGCCTTGGGACAGAGATGCTCATTCTGGTGTGGCCAATACACCTGTTTGATGGGGGGGGTCCCTCTGGAGTTCTCTGTGTTCAAAACACTGGACCCTGGAGTGACTGGATGATGTTCTTAGTAATTTCATCTAGTTTTAGGTAGTCCTGAGAGGAACAAGGAGTTGGATTTGACGATCCTTATGGGTGCCTTTCAACTTGAGATATTCTGTGATTCTTACTTCAATACATTTAAACTATTCCAAAATTTGTATATGAGGTTCAACATTTAATAAAAGCATCACCACTGCAGCCATTCAAGCAGCCCGAGATGAACGAATGATGCATCTGAGAAAGTTCTGTATGTTGTCCTGGTAGAATAAATCTTCAGGATGTCTTTTACTTTCTTGCTTTATTTTATTCCTCCTCAGAACCCTGCTAAGGATTTGCAGGACATAGTAAGTGAAGAAGAGTAAAATCACCTTTGGAAAAAATAACTAAGTTTAGGGAGGAGAACGTAGCCTGAATTCTTGGGTTTACCAAGGAGCACTGGTTCATTCTGGGAATAATAATTTGCAATTAGTTTTTTGAAAGACATTTTGGACTAAAATGCTTATTATATTAAAATTGTCCAGGCTGTATCCATACGGTGGCTGCAGAGGTGGGAATTAGGATAATAACACCACCATCTGTCATTTATTGTCTTGTCAAATGCCTTTCTGAGTGGCAATGACAATCCTATAATCTGTTGTTCCTACAATTCTCAGCAAAATTGGGATGAGTGGGAAGAAGCAGCTACTGTATTTAAGTTTTATATAAACTATATCTCATAAAAACCCGCTGAACCCAAATCCAAGTTTTCCTATTGACTCATGAAATGCCCTTGGACAAAGTCATCTTGCTCTCTCTGGTTGTGCTTCTCAGTTTTCAGTTTAACTTGTAGAAACATATCTAAGTTCTTTGCAGGTTATTTGTGAGGGACAACATACTTTTGGGTGTGTAGACATTTTAGAGAATTTTCAGAAATCTGCTTTTTGAGAAATGAGGATTATGATTGCAAAGTGGGAATTCAACTCATTTTCTCAAAATCCTGTACTTGACTCATTATTTTAATGTAAAATTTTGAATTCTGAAGTCTTTGTCTTCTAACTCCTTGCTTTGAGTGGGGAGCTGGACTAGATGACCTCCAGAAGTCTCTTTTAATCTAATATTTTATTGATTCCAGTGGAGAAAAAAAATGTTCATGGGTGGTATTGATTCCTAGTCCTTCCGGGGGGTTTCTGTTAGATTGGCTCAGATCCTACGGTGAAAATCTTTCTGAAAAGCTCGTATCCCAGCACGCTTATCTGGAGTAGAAACCTACCCCTAGATACCTCAGTGTACCAGTTTCCCATCTGGGAAATCAAATAATGTTTTAGCTCATCCTGTGACTCTCAAGCTACTTTGCAAGCATTTCAGGGCAGAGAATGCCTTATTTAGTCCATGTTCATGGCAGGTTTAGCACACTGGGAGTGTGATTTTAGCTATTGCTTCTCAAGGCACGTTGTAAGTCAAGATGCCAGAATTGTTCTTCCAGCTACCCATTAATTTACCACATGAGCTTCGCTGGTTGTCAGGTTACACTGCTTTGGTTTTGCTAATATAAAACAAAAAAAAAAACTTTTAGACATGGGTATTGTAAGGGTGACTGCAAAGTATAGTGGAAGTAATTTGCAAAGTAAAGTACTGAATAATGTTTTTGCAGTGTTTGACAGTGGGGTAGAAAAAAAGAACAGATTTTTAAAGGGATCCAAGTATAAGAAATGAAGAATGAGGCTATTGGAAGAGATGACTGCTCAGAGTGCAATCTGGGCAACGCTGATTTCCAAGAGGGAGAGATGTCACATGGAAAGTACTGAAGACAAGGAAGGACAATTGAGACACGAAAGATAAAGCCATTATTCTAGTCCATGTGGCCAACTTTCAAACTCTTTTTCCCATTGAATTTGTGTCTTTTGCTAACTCATCGGTGTGTGTTGCAGCTCAGCTCCGTCCCTGCGAGATGTCTTGCTACGACCTGTGCTCCCCCACCGCCTGCGGCGTCTACCGCCCCCAGCCCATCGCTGACAGCTGCAACGAGCCCTGCGTCCGCCAGTGCCCTGACTCCACCACCATCATCCAACCCCCTCCCGTTGTCGTCACCTTGCCCGGCCCCATCCTCAGCTCCTTCCCCCAGGATTCCGTTGTGGGATCCTCTGGAGCCCCCATCCTTGGGGGCTATGGGGGCTACGGCTACGGGGGCTACGGGGGCCTGTGGGGCTCCGGGGGCTACGGAGGCTCCTCCCTGGGCTATGGGGGTCTGTGGGGCTATGGGGGCTCTCTTGGTTACAGGGGTCTGTATGGCTACAGTAGAGGCTACGCTTCTAGCAATTGCAACCCTTTCTCCTACTGGTCCAACAGGTACCTCCGTGGGAGCTGTGGGCCCTGCTAAATCCTACAGAAATATCCCCTGAGTAAGGAATAACCGGCAACTGCGAGATACGATCTTGGTCCACAGCTGTGGCCCCAAAGGACAAGCTGTGGAGTCCTGGTCACTGCCACCCCACTGCAGTGGAGCTGGGAGCACACAGCACATCCTGAATTTCTTCAGCCTTTACTCGTGGTCTTTTTGGGCTTTTTTCCATCTGTGTGTATAACAGGCGGGGTAAAACAAACAATTTTTCTTATAAAATGGCACTTCACTGTCCAACTGAAGAAGAACAATTATGGAAGGACTTGGCTGCACTCTGATCCATATTCTTGATATTCTACACTGCTTTTCTGTAAATGTCTATTTCTCATTAAATTGACTCTACTCTGCATCAAACAAATCAACTTCTAGTTTGAATTTCTTCTGCTATGGATATGCAATTTTCCTCACTGTAGACGGGGAAAACTCACATCCTTACATAGGATGAGGCTCACACTTCAAACACACAGTTGAAATGGCAGTGAAATCAGTGCATACATTTGGGAGCAGGACCCCTCCCTCCCCAGCTGATTACAATAATTATAACATCACATTTAGAAAGAAAGGCTAAACCTCCATTTCCTAATGAGCCATTTGAAGGTCTTTGCTGGCCATAGCAAGAGCAGAGCTGGTGGCTCAGTTGAGTCTGGATTCAGAGCAGATAATGAGGAAAAGGACAGCAGATGAGGCCCCCAGGCGGGAAGGGTAGTCCTGAGCTGGAAGGGATTTAGGGAGATGGGGAGAGAACAGTGAAGGGTGTTGGGATGGAGCTGCTGAGAGGGAGAGGGTTGGAGGAGCTGCAAGAAGGAAAAGAGGTCCTCAGAGGTGGGTAGGCTTTATATAATGGGCCTTTCAGATGAGGAATATCGAGGGAGAGGCTGAAAGTTAGAGCTGCTGAAAATGGGGGGTTCTGTTGTGAGAATTTCTCATGCAGGAGTTGGGAAACACAATGGTGTTCAGGAGGTGTGTTCAGGAGGTGTGTACAGGATCGTGGCTTTTTCTACTTTTTAAGCTTTCCAGGCACCATAATTCTGCTCTGTTGGTTCCAGCTGTTCTTGCTGGCACAGATGGATCAGCCCATGGGCAGCTGTATGGAGTTTTCTGTCAAAAAAAACATCCAACACCTTAGATTTCATGATTATACAGTAAGACCATTACCCACACTTCAGATTGAAACATTCCATTGTATGGTCCAGAAAACTTTATTTCTTTAAAGATTTGTCAGAAAAGCAGTTCAACTTTCTGCAAAGACTATTACTGAGGACACAATTTAAGTATTTGAGGGAGAACCTGAAGTTCAAAGAAATGAACTAGAGCCTTACCTGGAGGAAATACTTAGTGAAGTCTGAAGTTTTTAGGAAGGAGTTTAAAATTAGTAATTCACTGTTTCATTTCTCTACCACAACTAATCTGTAACCAGTAGATGTACAACCAAGAAGCCAAATTCCACAAAAGTGTCAAGAATCTTTGCCTAAAAAATGGTGAGGGCAGGACAGTAGTTCCTTCTGCGCTGAGGGCTTCACACTTCTTTTGTCTGTTTGAAAGTCCTGATTTCTTTAAGGCAGGACTTTCACCTACATAGTTCAGACTGTTACTGGCAGCTGTATGGATTACAGATTAGATTTCTCCTGAGACAAATAACCAGGGTAAAAATCATGCAAAAAGAACACCAGATCATGGCAACTTTGATGCAATAAACTTTTAATGAGTATAAGAATACATTTTCAGAGTCTGCAACAAGTATGAAACTGTTCTCCAGCCAGGGATGCATTCATATACGGTTGATTATTTTTTTCTTCCTGAGTCTTAGCTGGTAGTTTGAACAAAAAGGAACCATTTTGAGCAGCTTTGTTACAGGTTTTCCCCCAGACAATATGGAGACCTGACAGGAGAAGCATTAAGGCAGAAATTGAAAGTAGAAGTTAAGAGAAGAAAATCAAGAGGGGTTGAAAGGGTACAGCCCCTGGTTTTGGAAAAGAGCAGTGGAGACTCAGATCACTTTAACTGTGAAACTATCCCAACTCGTTTGGTGGTTATACCTCACTTGGGGTATTTCTTTAGGATTTAGCAGGGCCCACAGCTCCCACGGCGGTACCTCCTGTACTGGTAGGAGGAAGGGCCGCAAGAGCCAGAGCTATAGGATCTACCAGAGCCATACAGACCCCTGTAACCCTGGGAGCTGCCCCCGGAGCCATACAGACCCCCACAGGCCAGGGAAGAGCCCCCATAGCCCAGGGAGGAACCATAGCCCCCATAACCCCCCAGGCCTCCGTAGCCACCCAGGGAGGAGCCATAGCCCCCATAACCCCCCAGGCCTCCGTAGCCACCCAGGCCTCCGTAGCCTCCATAGCCACCAAAGCCTCCAGAGCCACCAAAGCCCCCGGAGCCCCCAAAGCTCCCGGAGCCATAGCCCCCATAGCCCCCGAGGATGGGGGCTCCAGAGGATCCCACAACGGAACCCTGGGGGAAGGAGCTGAGGATGGGGCCGGGGAAGGTGACGACGGCAGGAGGTGGCTGGATGATGGTGGTGGAGTCAGGGCACTGGCGGACGCAGGGCTCGTTGCAGCTGTCAGCGATGGGCTGGGGGCGGTAGACGCCGCAGGCAGTGGGGGAGCACAGGTCGTAGCAAGACATCTTGCAGGAATGGAAGTCAGTCTGTAAAACGTAGCCATTTTGGTTAACAACAAAGAACACATTAGGTTATGATGAAGCAGTCCAACACAGTATCAGTAATAAATTTGAGAAGTGAACATATTTCCTTCTACTGTTCTTCCTAGTGCTGTAACCAAGTTTTGACTTTAGTACGACAAAGTCATGTACTTTTCAATTGTATCTTTGGCATTTCCAGATGTTTTAATTTTGATACAATTACATTACTATTAGTTGATGTTTTCTACCGAATAAGTTTGATGTTTCCTGTTTTCAGCTCTGCAGAACTCTGCTAAATGCAGCCATATACAACCATGCATATGAACTGTTCTTTATCTCGTAAAATATTCAAGCAATTCTTTGAAGTGCTAAGATGCTACAAGTTTGGAATTCAAAACTGCTTGACATGCCCCTGTTCTGGAGTCTATCTTTACAGGGCCCGGTAATGAATGAGAAGACAAACATTATTTCTAGCAGCAAAAGATCTACAGATCACTGGCAGCCTGGCAGTAACTGAAGAGGACTCGGTCCTAAGTTACAATCCTGAGTTCTTTAAAGCAAGTTTAGCAAAGTTTGAGAGAAATCAGACTTACCCAATTCACGAAGACGAGTGAGTTGAGAGAAGTGGATAGAAAGACTTCTTGCGGAGAGCTTTTATACAGTTCAGTCGATTGCCTGGGGGACATTAGGCATCCTGTGCGTGAGTTGATAATTAGGTCCCATCCCCAAATTGTAGGACACGTAATTTCTCAAAGTGCTGAAATTGTTTTTGCTTATTGCTTGTGTGTTGCAGGCACTTCAAGCCCACACATAGCGTGACATACACGCTCTACCACAGGCCTATTATCTCCTGGCTTTACATGTGGAAATTTTTTTTATTATTCCATTGCCTCCTTTAGCATTAAGGGAGGAAATAAGCTGACTTAATTTATTTAAGGGTCCAGCATAATTAGGATGACTGGAGGACAGTCACTTCTTTTGTTCAGTTACAGGTCTTTTAGTGTAGTCAACAGTATACCGGGAGACAAGATAGAATTTCTTTTAGGATCTCGAAATGAAGGCTGGAGACAAAAAACAAGGGTAAAAACATTCTTTCTGCAGTCTTAGTTAGCACTTCTACCTCCAGCTACTCAATACAAGGCAAACACAATTATCAGGAGCATCTTTTAATGGCTTTTCGATGGTTCTCTACTAGTTGTGTTTGAGTCCCTGGAATGGAGAAATATTTCAGCTGGCAGCCACAACTCTATGGAAACCGATTTTTCTGAGTTGTTTCATGAGCTTTGCTTTCCTTTATATTTTATTTTGTTTTCTCCTCCTATTGTTACATATTAGAGAGATGTATCTAAGAACATAAGACAAGAAAAGAAATCAGGTGATAAGACCTGGCTACTCACAGAGATTCTAGTGCTGAAATAATGAAACCAGACCCCATTGTAGCCTGGCTTCACAGAGATTCTAGTGCTGAAATAATGAAAACAGACCCCATTGTACCTGGCTTTTTGGGTTTGGTTTGGGGGTTTTTTTTTGGCTAATAGTTCCGTTAACATAAGTAGATTTCTGTTTCTGGGCCGTTGTGCACTTTAATAAAAAATGAGATGGGTTTTATTTTTAAAGTCGAAGGAAGAAAAGTCCAAAAAGTGTTATAAAACATGAACTAATTGAAAGGAACCCAAATGACCTTAACTTGCCTGGTTTAATGTGATAATCCCTTATAATAGTGGGGCGTATGCATCCAGGCATACTTTTTATATAATTATGTCACAATACTTACAAGATTGTAAGGAGTGTTCTTGAGGTATCTGAAAATCCCTTGGAATGTCCTCGTAAAACTTTGAGATGGCCTATTTCAGTATTGTTGTTCAGGAAATCTCCATACGTATCTCCAGATTTGGAAAAGCTCGTAATTTAGAAATAATATGTGGTCTGAAGATAAATAAGTTGATGATTAAGATAACCCTGATAATGATATAGTATTATAATAATGGCATAAACAAAGAAAGAAACCTCAGCAAAGCCAGCATTTTCTTTTGCCAGCGGATTCTCACCTCATAATTGCTGTTACTGACAGATGCCCTCAATGACAGGATTACTTGCAAGATCAGGTGTAGTTCAGGATCAAGAAGGATCAAGCCTGAGGAGCCGGCTAGAAATTAAAGGAAACTTCAGGAAAATGTACCCTCTCCAAATTTTGGATTAAACTGAGATGAAAGTTTGAGTATCCTTGACTACTTATGACTTCTGATACTCACTGGGAATCTGTCCACTTTTTGATGTCGTTTCAATGGCACTTTGATGTCTAAAAGTTGCTTTTATCTATTGGATATGCAAGTGAAATAAGAGTTGAAGAAATCCTTTAATACTTGTGAATGGTCTTTGGTTTAAGCAGGAAGTCCCAGCAGTTTATATTAAATATAAATATCTCTCCTTTCAGAACTAAATTCAGCTTGAAGCTGTAGTTTGAGGGTCAGATAAAACCTAAGGCTGTTTTCAAAATCTGCCTCTGTGTGTTTGGGACCACTCACAATATGATTTAATTCAGGTAGTATTGAGAATCCTCCATGGATTCCAATATGAATTGCGTCACATCTCGGAAATTAACCAAAACACACAAAAAATATTGGTTTTTATCTTTAAGAAGAGAGAAAACTTGTGTAAGGAACTTTGAAAGAAAAACCTCACTGTAGGTTATTTCTGATAAATATCTGGGCACCAATGGCATATGAGCAAAGAAGCAAAAGAAGAATATATAAGCAAAAGAGGATTTGCATATAAGCAGATTACTACATGGTACAACTCAAAAGAGAAGAGAAAACTGATACTAATTTAGTGAATCATGTTTTAAGATTAAGGATGCATTCATTTTACCTATCACTCCTTTAGATGAAAGAACCTTATGTGATGTAACGCGCGTGCTATGTTATGTGATAATTGAAATCAAATAATAAACAAAACCAGAAAGCGCAACAATTTCATCACTTTGTGGAGCTGTCAATACAAAAAATGTGCTGTGTCAACTAATTAGATCCACATGCACAAAACCAGCTTCTCATCCCTCAGGCAGTCTGAACTGTATAAAAGCTCTCTCTACTCAGGGTTCTTCCATCCTCTTCTCTTCGCTCGTTCTTCTCAACGAATCAGGTAAGTCTGAATCTGCTCTTTACAACTATTGGAATAGGTCTTTGCTCTACAGTTTAATCTAAGATGGTGTCTTGCATTAAGAACTAGTGGGTACAATGCTAGGGGAAAAGACAAAGCTTAGGAAAATGATTATAAGTTTTATGGAGAGCAATTCTCTGCATTCAGAATTGGCATTGAATTTCAAAGCAAACTGAAAATTTCTTGACAAGGCAGAAAATTAAGTTTGTTATTAGTTCACTTGCAACAGCTGAAGAAATTCTTGGGCTAGTTCAATACGCATTCTTCTTCCCTCTTTGTTTATATGGGCAACTGGAAATTATTTGAAAAGTTTAAATCTTCATGGTTCACAGGGAAATGCTGAGCTTAGAAGCAGACCTTCCTTTACCTCCAGTTTATCCTATTACAGATCACTCAAGGTGCTTTTACATTAATTCAAGATAAACAGGCACAAAAAATACCAGAGATTGGGTGCTGGATTAGATAGAGGAGGACACAGAGAGGAATTGAGAGCTGTTGTAAAGGCTCTGTAAGAAATTTATTTACCTAAAAGGAAAAGATGTCTTGGAAGAAATTCAAGGAGTTGACTAATGAAGCACTGGGTTTTTCATGTTAATGGGGGCAAGTGGTTTAAGGTGAGACTTTTTCGAAGGAGTTCAGAGCCCAGAATCAGGACAGTATGGTGTTGAGCTAGTCGCAAATATTTCAGTGTCCCGATTCAATGTTTAGAAACTGGGGGCAATAATCTTTGCAATTCCCTTGTAATGGTCTCATCAAACAAGTTACTGAGTAAAATCTGAATCGACAATGCTTTATAATCCCTGTTCTCACAAAGCTCAGCAAAAAGGAGATCAGTGGAAATGTGGAGTTAGAGTCATGAAATCACACATAACAACACACTCTGCTCTTGGAGTCCCAGTCCTTGCCGATCCACTGACTCACCACAGCATCTGAGCACATAATTTTACTATTCTGCTTCAATTTTCATTTCTAATTGACACGAGTAAATTGGCGTACTTCAAAGCACTCCTGCCTGAGGAAACACAGTGAACTCTGTAACACTTTTATGTATGCAAATAATGTTTTGTACTTGGTAAAATCAACTCTTGTAGATCAACCTTAATCCCTGCGAGATGTCTTGCTACGACCTGTGCTCCACCTCCGCCTGCGGCGTCTACCGCCCCCAGCCCATCGCTGACAGCTGCAACGAGCCCTGCGTCCGCCAGTGCCCTGACTCCACCACCATCATCCAGCCACCTCCTGCCGTCGTCACCTTGCCCGGCCCCATCCTCAGCTCCTTCCCCCAGGGTTCCGTTGTGGGATCCTCTGGAGCCCCCATCCTTGGGGGCTATGGGGGCTATGGCTCCGGGAGCTTTGGGGGCTCCGGGGGCTTTGGTAGCTCCGGAGGCTTTGGTGGCTCTGGGGGCTTTGGTGGCTATGGAGGCTACGGAGGCCTGGGCGGCTACGGAGGCCTGGGGGGTTACGGGGGCTATGGTTCCTCCCTGGGCTATGGGGGTCAGTTTGGCTATGGGGGCTCTTCCCTGGCCTGTGGGGGTCTGTATGGCTCCGGGGGCAGCTCCCAGGGTTACAGGGGTCTGTATGGCTCTGGTAGATCCTACAGCTCTGGCTCTTGCGGCCCTTCCTCCTACCAGTACAGGAGGTACCGCCGTGGGAGCTGTGGGCCCTGCTAAATCCTACAGAAACATCCCTTGAGTAAAGAACAACTGGGAAATGCATGATACAGTCTTGATCCTTAAAGGAGCTCCTGAGTAAGGGGCAGAGCTTGAAAGACTTCCACTTAATACAATGGAGTCAGAATATCTCTATAAATTACACTTTTCATTTCCTTCTTCGTTTGCTTCATCTCCTCTTCCTTGCCCCTGGCCATGGCCAAATGTATCTTCTCCATTGTCCCAGAGGACACTTGCTTCTCCCTGAAACTGCCACATCCTGGGGGAAGTCTGAAGGAACACCTCTGCGGAAGCCTGTGGGGGCAACCTGCCTGCCTCTGTCTGATGTATCTTTCTTCATTCAATAAAACAAACCTGCATCCTACCCCTGCCTCTGCCTTTTCCTTCCCAAGGCCCATCGTGGGCTGCAGGGCTCCCTTGCCCTGCCTGTGGTTCCCACTGGCCACACCAGGGCAATCTCTCAGTGCCAGCAGAGCCGGACCCATCTGCCTTTGGGGAAAGCCCCCAGACCTGGCGACACAGTCCTACTAAACAACCTATCTACCCAGTATTTCCTTGCTATGAACTGGAATTATCATGTCCTCTAAACTAATTATTCTATGTGCCAGACTTCCAGCAGTTAGTACAATTTTTTTTTTTTTTTCAATAGTGAATTTAGTGCTGGAATTCCTTTGAATTTTACATCTTCCCACTTGATGTACTAGAAATCATCAAACTGTGTTCAAAGGCAAGGTAAAAAAATGTGGCCTGAAGTTCTCTCAAAGCATATTCTCAAAAGGAACAATAGGAGGAAAGTAAACAATGGGAAACAATTTTTAAGATAGGCATCTGATGAGCCAAGATGAAGCACTGCCTTGTCTTTTTTTGTTAATCACTGCTGTGATAACAGTTGCCTCAGGGAAGTTTTAGCTGTGTATAAGTCAGCAGGGTGAAGAGAAAAGAATCTGAACTAATGCATTACAGAGGATTTACCTATTACTTCACTGAGTCTCTTTCAAAGATAAGTTCCGCAGATGAATGTACAATTTCTTGGTCTCAACCCTCTGTCAGTGTCATGGATTAGTACATCTGGTTTTAATGGGCAATTGCAATGCCCCTGCCCAAATGTAACTGGATGTCAGATGGCTGTGTGCTATAAGTGCGAACAAGTTGAAATGAAAAATACTTGTGAATCTCACTTTTATTTTAAGAATATATAGTTTTATTTTTACTAATTAACAAATACTTATGTTTTGACCAAAAAGAAGCCCTTCAATGAAAGGTTCTCTTCTCTCTGCCTGCTTCCTCTTCCCTGTCCTGATACTCCCTGCGCTCATGGTCCTGGACTTTTGGGAAAAGGTCTGGGGGGTCCAGGAAGGGACTGGATCTTGCAGGCCCCAGCTGAGAGACCAGTTCCTCCCCTGTTGTGGGAAGAGCCCAGGCAGCTGAGTTGAAGAAAGGCTTTCGGGCACAAAGAAATGGCTCTCTGTCCCTCCTGCTGCTCTCCATCCTCACATGGCTTGAGGCAACGACACTGCTGCCATGAATTCCCAGGAGCTCAGCAACCAACCTCCTGGCTTGTGCCACACCAGCCCTGTGTCTCCTTGGCTCAGGTGCATCTCCTGTGCTGAGCTAAACCCTCTTTCCTCACAATTGCTCCAGGCAAAGGCAGTTCCTGGGACAGCTTTACAAAACACAGATGCCTGGTGTCCTCTCCCTTTCTCTTCTGCTTGAGGCCAGGATAAACAAGGGCAATGAAGCTGGTGAGGGATCTGGATAACAAGGAGAATGCTATGGAGAACTTGTGAGGAGTGGCTGAGGGAGCTGGGGGGTGTTCAGCCTGGAGAAAAGGAGACTGAGGGGAGACTTTCTCACTCTCTACAACTCCCTGAAAAGAGACTGTAGCCAGGTGGGGTCGATCTCTTCTCCCAAGTAACAGGTGATGGCACAAGAGGCAATGGCTTCAAGTTGTGCTGGTGGAGGTTTAGGATGGATATTAGGAAAAATTTTTACACTGAGAGGGTTATTGGAACAGGCTGCCCAGAGAAGTGGTTGAGTCACCATCCCTGGAGGTATTTAAAAGAGAGGCAGACGTGGTGCTCAGGGACATGGGTTAGTGGTATTTTTTGTCAGTGTTGGGTTGATGGTTGGACTCAATGATGTGAAAGGTCCCTTCCAACCTGGATAATTCTATGATTCTATGACCCTTACTTTCACGAGCAGCCTCTAAGAGGCACTTCAGTGGAATTCATGCATGATCACAGCTGAACCCCTGAGCTCCCACTGCCAACTTTTCCTTCCACTGACTGTCTCAATGAGGCAGTGTCAGGCAGGTATCAGCCAGAACCCAATTAGATGTGTATTGTGTCAGAGAGCAAGTGCCTAGCCCAAGATAACAAGATTGGTGAGAGCTATTAGCACGCAGCTAACATGATTACGTAGCTTCTGTTTGGGCTGGAAGCCTGTTCAGGGTGAGCTCATGTCTGATTGCAAAATAGCACACAGAGACACACTTTCTGTCAGTGTCTAATTTATATAGGAGTTATAGGAATAGCCGGAGTTTACTACATTGGTCACTCAAGGATCAGTCTCAAAACCTCTAATTATTTGTTTGCATAAATGGCATTGGCACATAATTTGGGAGCACTCTGTTTTATGTGCTGATAACATAAAGCTGAGTGGCAACAAGCAGGAGGGAAACAGACTTTAAGACTGGAAAAACCAGATGGCTTAACTGATGGGAGGAATGGTAACGGTATGATCTTCAGTAACACAGTGCAAGGCCGTGTACCTGCTGACTACGGAGAAAAGATCCGGTGTAACATGGGCTATAATCAGAAAGAAGTGACAGAGGAGGAAAAATTCTCTGAGTAGCACCAAGTAGTGGTGAATCCATTGTAAATACAGAGTATTAGAAAGTGGTGGTAATATAAGCAGAACCTGTGAAAACAAGGCAAAGAGCACACCCGATTTGTCTTTTCGTCCCAACAAAAGAGAAGGTGAATCCAAGAAATTTGAACGGCACTTATTGCAACTGAATCAATCTCACATATACCACAGTAAGTGGTAAAAGAATATTGTGGGATGGGTCATCTAGAGTAAAACTAAGAAAAAGATGATCTGTCTTTACTTTTTACGACAGGGGGTAAAAGAATCCCTGAAGACATACGGTAGCAGTTTTGTAGAAATAGAAGGTTTTACAGAGTGAGAGAGCAGCATCGTTCCTCTTCTAGAAGACCATGAAGAGTAGCTGAGACACCAAACACTAATGTATGAATATTATGGCCAAAAACTATTCCTGTACAAATAATTATATTTAAGTAAGCACACATTTAGTGAAGAGACATCTATAGTCAATTCACTTGCTCCCACTTTATTGCTACACTTCTGCAGCTGAATCATTCCTCCCTCCAATTAGAGAAAAGAAGATTTTCCCTGAGATGACCATCATTCATCTGGACCTGGAAAAGGAGAAATGAGGAATCACCTCTTCTACCCAAGGAATGAAAAGACATAGGACATTCCCTGGAGAAATATGTAGAAATCAGAATTTGCCCTCTAACATTTTCTACGCAATAAACTTTGGAAAAAGAATGGAAAGACAAAATACATGGATGCAGGAAAACTTTATTGTGCCCAGAGGGGCAGGAGAGACTGTCAGAGAGATGGTAGGCAAGACCCAGAGATGCTGGCTGCCCTGTGTTGTGACAGGCAGAGGAATCTTCTCCAGAGCATGGCTTCTTGCTCCACATGACCCCTTGTTGCAGCATTCCAGATCCCAAGGGCTTGGCCCATCAACCCCACACAGCCTTTTGGGTCCAGCTCCTGCCCTGAACAAGAGATGAGGGAAAAGGGCAGGGGAAGATATCAGGGGGCAGAGGAAGAGGGCAGGGAAGGGTCCAAGGCACTGCCAGCTGCCCAGGCCTTAGCTGGGGTTGCTGGTGACATTGGCAGGTGGTCTGAGGGCAGCGCCTGTGTGTGGTGTGGGTCTAGCAGGGCCCACAGGTGTCCCAGAGCTTCTTGCTGGAGCGGGGCAAGACACAAGGGCTGCAGGCAGGAGCAGCGTAGGCTCTGCCAAAGGTGCAGAGGCCCCCCGAGCCCTGGGTGGCACCGGCACCATAGAGGCCCCCCAGACCCAGGTTGCCCCCAAAGGCCGGTGCTCCAGAGGAGCCCACCACGGCTTGCTGGGGGAAGGAGCTGAGGATGGGGCCGGGGAAGGTGACCATGACGGGGGGTGGCTGGATGAAGGCCGTGGAGTCGGGGCACTGGCGGGTGCACAGGTCGTTGCAGCTCTCAGCGATGGGCTGAGGGACGGCCACGCTGGTCTTTGGTGGGCACAGGTCGTAGCAAGACATCTTTATGTTGGAGAGAGCTGAGCCTGAAAGACACAGACACAAGGAACACTGTCATGATCAAGAAGGAGATGTCCCCATCAAGCATCTCCCAGTTACCAGAGGTGCCCTGGAGCTGAAGGGTCCAGAGCCACTGACTTGCCTTCATTACCAGATGCTTGTCCTTTGCCCAGCCAGCCCTACTTGGTGTCCTCCTTTCCACACCCCTTGCTTTGCCCTCTCTCCATACACAGAGGCCACACAAGCCTTCCCAAGAACCTGTGCAGGGTCTGGCTCTCTGTGCCATGGACATGGGGCTCATTCCTCCCCCTGCTGTGGCTCATGATACACTGACTGTCCAAGGCTGCTGCCATCAGAGCTCTCCTGGCCAGGGATGTCCCACA